GTTGTCGAAGTCAAGTGAAAACATGTCTAACTCAAGTGAAAAACACTGTATCACGACCTCCATGCACGTGGCGGATGCATCAACGTGATGCTGGCCTATGTACAGTGCCCGTAACTGTCCTCGTTTCGTTGCGCTAGCCTACTCTGTGCTGAATAAGGCGAAATCCTTGGGAAACTGTCCAGTTTAGGGCTAAGTCCCCTCAGAGACCTTCATGCCTCCTTGGAGAACCAATCACTTTCGTTTTTGGTAGTTTCAACCTATAATGATTCTATACTGTATATATATCTTAGGCATCTTTCCCATATTTTCAGGGCTACACCCAATCCTACCTGCAGTTTAACATAAAGAGATGTCCCAACCATTCATGGACTTGTTGGTATTATTAGCTGGATTATGTGCAGTGCAGCTTACAGACTTTTGCAGTAACCCAACTATTTTCATTTTAACTAGGCCTATTGCTGCTCATGAGATTTCAGGAACTATGAGTATCAAAAAAATGAAATTTATTGGTGTGTGTAATTTAATATGTTTAACCAGTATGCTGCCTTCTTAGAAAGTACATGCTGAATGTCTTGCAGAATTAAATTTATACCTATATCCAGTAAGGCTTACAGAGTTAGTTGCTTTTTTCTCAGACCCATTCATTTTTTCTGGTATTGAGTTCAAATTCCCACTTTGTAAAAAAAAAAAAAATTAGGAGGTAAATATAATTGAGAATTAGAGGCAGATGTATCATTTGAGTTGAAAATTGTTCAGACTCCACAGGTAGGAATATTTTTTTGATACACCTTTCGTGTTTCTAGACCTATTTGAAACCTGCATCCCGTCAACTCTCTTCAGGTGTGGAAAGAACTAATGAAAAAAAATCGCAAGATTTTGATAAACCTAAAAGTTTGTGCTCTATCATGGAAAGTTAAATTAATCTACTTTTAAGTATGCTATGTAATGTAAGTCCAGGCTGCTTTGATATTTAATGAGCCATTGGACTTGAAATGTTTGAAGTAATCTTTAATTCATTTCAATCCTTCAAGGAGTTTTTGGCTAACATAGTTTACTACTTAAGGACATGCTCCATTTCCTGTGAATAAGATCTCTATATTTTTTTAAATCCTGGAATACAATTCCATGGAGTCGTAGTGGGAGTGCCTTGTGAAATACTTACAGAGTGGTCATCCAACTCTTTTGAGAAGAGCAGAGTATTCACAAAATTCTGTTGCTAGTTCATAAATTCTCTGCATATTTGAATTTTTGCAGGATTTGTCAGTTATATTTTAAATGCAATTTTTCAAGGGATAGGAACCATCACATACTTATGGATAGCCCAGTATATTGGAATTATTGGCTCACTCATATAGCAATATAGTATTTCAGTTTTTTCTCTTGATATCGAGGTACAAATTTATTATAATCTGAAGAGCTGAATGGGTAAACTGAAGCTAAAAGTAAATACTTGCTGCTCTACATTATCTACTAAATTATCCAGAAGGGTTTACTTGATTCCATGACAGTGTAGTGGTCCTCAATGTGCTTATAATGTAGCAGCTGTACACTTTACTATACTGTGCACATCACATTCAATATGCCCTTATCGGGGATATTAATCTTTGGAAATGACAGGCCGGTAAGTCTCACGAGTATTCCAGGGAAGATCATGGAAAGCATACTAAGGGACCATCTCTTGGATTTCCTCGAAGGAAACGCGCTCATTCGAGACTCCCAACACGGCTTTCGGAGGCGTCGAAATTGTCTCATCGATTTGCTCGAATTCTACGACTGGGCGACGGAAGAGAGGGATAAGGGGAATCCCGTCGACATCGTCCATTTAGATTTCGCGAAAGCTTTCGATACCGTTCCTCACAAGAGGTTGCGGGTTAAACTGGAGGCGCACGGGATCCAGGGTAGGACGAGNAGAGAGATTTAGGTGTTTCTATCGATGAGGACCTCAAGTTTTCCTCGCACGCGCAAGCGACGGTGGCCAAATGCAATAGGATTCTAGGTTACATTTGTCGTTCGGTTGCAAGTAGGACATCTCGCGTTATTCTTCCGTTGTATGCGGCGCTGATAAGACCCCAGTTGGAATATTGCATCCAGTTTTGGAGGTCCACAAATAAGGGCGATTTGCTGGCGCTCGAGGGAGTACAGAGGAGGGCCACAAGAATGATTAAGGAGGTCAGGGGACTATCATACGAGAAGCGTTTAGAAATGTTGGGACTGTTCTCGCTCGAGCGAAGGTTAAGGAGGGGCGATCTCATCCAGGCTTTCAAGATAATTAAAGGAATAGATAATGTCGAGTGTGGTAGGTTTTTCCAGTTTGATGGCAGCAAGAGAACGAGAGGTAACCGACTTAAGTTGAGCAAATTGCAGGTGCAGCTCAATTCGAGACAGGAATTTTTTACTTGCAGAGTGGTGAACGCGTGGAATGCGTTAGATGACGAAGTAGTGGCTGCCCCGCGCTGTGTCTATCTTGAAGAAGAAACTGGATGCTTTCAGGACAGGCAAAAAGGTGGGGGCAATGTTGACGTTAGGTACTAGACAGTAAGCAACTAGGATAGTAAAAAAAAAAAAATATTTAGCTGTAAGAGGGTTAGGGCTACGCTAAAATTAAGGAACGCTCGACCTCGACACGTGATATCGAAATGGAGTGAAATCGCTTCTTGATATCACTAACTATCTGAATCTTGAATCTTGGATTTGAGAATGCCATTATTAACTAATCCTGTTTTCCTAGTTTTGCAGTCCATAGTGACTGATGCTTAGAGAATATGTGTGCGAAGAGCTGGAATTACATGAGTGTTCATCTGATGAATCCTGCTCTAAGAGCAAAATGTGCTATCTTTGGTTGTGGTTTATGCTGACATTCTAGAAATAGGAATAATTGTCTAAAATGGCTAAAGGCAAAAAAATAAATTTATTGTGTTGGAGAATTTTTGGTTGGATTGTATTGCTTGCAATCTCTACGAGGGATCGAGTCATTGTAAAAGCCACAAAGAAAAACGTTTCCAAATCTACTGGTTCTGATCCCTGATCCCTGATCCCTGATACTGAAATTACTAGTAACCCATTTTGATATTAAAAAATTCGTCAGGAATTTTACTTATTTTCTTGATCTTCCCTGTCTGCCATGGGACGTTTCGTCCCATGTAGTAGTATTCTGCATGGTATCGATTCTGATGCTATGATGTACGACAGTAATACTACTCTACTATGTATAGAATACTACGATGAGAACTGGCATAAAAAGCGGTATTCATAACGTCGAGGGAGAGAAATCATTCGAGCAGTCCTGAATCTCCATCCTCGTGCGCGGAAAAGTCCATTTTATGATTCCACTTTGAGCAACAGCCGATATTTATTCAAACAACTTAGGTATATGAAACTTCCAAAAAACAAATTTTGTGGTGTTTCCAACGTAATATGAAAATATCACGAACCTAGATCATCCATAAAGGATTTTATCAGGCGTCAAACACAACGCGTTTCTTTTTTGGCCACCCGGGTATATTCCAGGAAAAACCGGCTAAAGGGTCTCTTTGAATCCCTCTACCCTTCGCTCGGCTAAGAAGGCGAGAGAAAAAATGTATTCCTCGGTACTCTTCAGGCAGTACCTGATCTTTTCCCACAGCCCACGCAGGGGAAGACACAAATTTCTCAATGCATCGACTTAAGCAAGTTAAACAGTCCAGGGAGACTCCCCGCAATCATGGAGGAAGCAAAGTTCAAATAGGGGGCCTGACAAGATGGAATGAGAACGATTTCCTCCTTAAACTTTCGTTCGGATATCGGCATCGATCGATTGATCGCGAAAAAAAGGCAAGATTCGAGAACGCGTCGATTGCAAAAAAAATATCGTGCAAAGCTGGCGTATTCAATTTCCTGAGTCGCGCAAATTATTTCCTCGTGATGTTTAAAGGGAGAGGGGTTCGTAACTTGCCTTGACACCGTGCCGACAAGCACGACAGCCGCATGAGAAGATAGGTGAAGGGTGATCTCGGCTCTTTCCGACCTTTCGAGCCGATCTCGAAGACATCGTGAAGCCGAAAACCGTCCGTACTAAACGGGACGAGAATAGTGCCACTCGCTTCTGCGGTCTCGTCTCTTTCCTCTTCGACGCCTCTCGCTTTCGAGGCGCCTCGCGTTCGCTATTCCAATGCTCTCACGTGGGACGTGGCTTCCTTTTTCGAGTCCCGAAAGAGAGTTTATTCCCTTCAGATGAGTTGAGGGATCCGGATGAGTTGCCTGTTGTCGATGCGAATCGCCTTGTCGACTTGAAACCGGTGATTCGTTTTTCGGACGACATGTAAATCTTGTAAATCGATGCTCTCATGCGCACTAAAATGATTATGAATGATGTGGGAATTGATACGGAATCATCACAAAAAACAGCACATTCTTGCAGATGCCGTTTATTCGACAAAGGTGAAAAGAGAGGAATCGCTCCTGAGGGACGTAAATCTCTTCAGTGAATGAAATCGTAAAGACGTGCACGATGAACACACTTTGATTTTTTTTCCAACGCAGATTCCCCTGATTTTTCTCGATTCAAGAACATGATGGCATTCCGAACGAGTGAAGCCAAAGCGACCGTTCAGAAACGGACGAAGCGGCCGCTCGCAAGAACGGCGAAGACGAAAAGGAGGAAAGAACGAGAAGCAGAAGAAGAAGAAGATCGGATGAAGGCGTCGGTAAGCCCGTTGCAGAGGTCGGTCTTGCAAGCGCATTGGTAGGTCCCGACTTGCGTGTCGTTGGACGACACCGCCACGCATTCCGACTTCGCAGTGTCGACGCAGTCTCCGTACACCAGCTTTCCTGCAATAGAAGGATCGAGAGAGAAAAACCGTTCGTCAAGGTCGTAAGCTATCGGGGTGAAGTCGGTCCACCGCTCGACGTCGACCGTCGAATAAATCGCTGCATAAAATGGAAGAGGAAGGGGCAAAAAAAAAAATAATAATAATAAAATGGAATCGAGAAAACGCTGCGATCGCTGTGTTCCAACCCACCGAAGATTCAAGTGGAACATCTCAGCAATGGCATTCCGGGAAATTATTTCCGGAACGACAATAGTTCTCGTAAAGGAACCGGACCGAGTTTGAAAGTTCTGGGTCGATTTTTTGGTACGAACAACTGACATTCGATACGTATGCCACTTAAAAGTAAAAGTGGTAACTATTGAAGGGAATCTGATCGAGCTGGATATCGACGGAAACTTTCTCCTCTGTGCCTTTTCTTGCCGACCTTAGAAATCAAGGTGGGAAAAGTATTCCGGATTCGAATCAGATTCTCGACCTCATTCCTCTATGCTACGATGTTCCCTCATCGAGAGACAATCTGAGAAACTTGGCACTCGAAAGTGACGCCAGGTTCAACTCCATCCCCAATACTCACCTTTATGCATTAGATCATGAACTTGCTAATCGCGGTAATAATGCATGAGGCTTCACTAACTTTTGGCACATTCCATCGACTCGACCCTAAAGGAAGCCTCGCTTCACGCTCGTCTCAACGAAAAGGCCGATTCCGTGAAGAAAGAACGAGGTAAGGCCAAGGCGAACCGATCAACGAGATGATGCCTCTCACTCTTCCCGATTTTCTCTCTCGCAGACGGGAAAATGAGGTTTCTTTTAACGGTTCCTCCGGACCGAATTCCCCCAGACTGAGAAGCGCACAGAAGATACGAGAAAAACCTCCTTCACCTCCTTTGCGATCGTACGCGGCCACGTAGGCCGGGTGATGATAATCGGTCGAACAAGACTTCGTCGTCGTGTTCTGCCAAAGGCGGATTCCGTGAAGAAAGAACTACAGGGTGGCTCAAAATAAACCAAGCTCTTGACTTCAACGTACTGTATATCAGACTGCAGGGCCTTGATTTGAGTAAGCTCTTAGGTACTCATCAAACAACTCTTTTGCAGCAGATATGAAATTATATAGTATGATATCCCAAATTTTTTGCTTAATTAGAAAGAAAATGACCACCCCCATTTGGAAAATTGCTGCAACAGTACCCGGTTGCCATTTGAGTTGGAGCAGAGACAGCTGTTGTTATTAAGAAAACACTTTATCTTCTATGAAAATGTTTAACATATTTCTTCCTTCTCCCAGATTTTTTTCTAAAGCAAAACAATGTCGAGCTACGTACATGAAGACTTGGCGGTGATCAAGCAAGACATTGCGAGTTTAAACGCAGGATTACCAACTTGAAAGCAAGGTAGTTGAAGGCCCAGAACCCGAAGAACTGAAGTGAATGCTGGAAAAGTTTAAATGCATGTGTTGAATCAGGAGGACCTGTAAGTTTGTTTTACCAGAAAATTCGTTAGTCATCTTTCTAACTTCTAATCTCATTTAAGCTCAGGTCTTGATCACTGCCAAGTCTTCGTGCGAGTAACACGGTATTGCTTTGTTCTACTAAAAAAATTTTTGGAATAAGAAGAAACATATCTTAAAACATTGATACAGGAAATGAAATGTGTTCCTAATAATAACTTGAGTCGCTGCTGCGGCTCAAATGGCAGCTGGGGACTGTTGCGGCAGTTTTCCGAATGAGGGTGGTCATTTTCTTTCTAATTGAGCAAAAAATTTGTGATATACCATATAATTTTATAACTGCTGTAAAAGAGTTGCTTCATATGTGCCTAAAAGCTTGCTAAAATCAAAGTACTGCAGCCTGATTTACAGCACGTTGAAGTCAATAGCTAGGTTTTTCTTTTGAGCCACCCTGTAGGTAAGGGAAGGCGAGCCGATAAACGAGATGATGCCTCTCACTCTTCCCGATTTTCTCGCAGACAAGAAAACGAGGTTTCTTTTAACGGTTCCTCCAGACCGAATCCCCCCAGACTGAGACGCGCACAGAAGGTACGAGAAAAACCTCCTTCACCTCCTTTGCGATCGTACGCGGCCACGCAGGCCGGGTGCTGATAATCGGTCGAACAAGACTTCGTCGTCGTGTTCCCGCCATCGCACGGAGGTATGCCGGAATCCGCCGGTCCGCAGTAGATGCACGTCAATGCACCTGCAAAAAAATAAGGTCCGGGATCGGTTTTTCAGGAACTTACAGTGCAGAATCGGTGTTGTCCGTCACACCTACCGTGAGTCTCGTCCGTTAGGTCACATCGTTAGGAAAGTTATATCTAATTGTAATCTATAACTGAATAATGATTCCTTTCGAACAAATATAATCTGTAACGATAATCACATTCCTTCCTCGAAAATGTAACCAGTCGAGGAAGCAGATGGGAACAATTGGGAACGGCGTTCTCATGCGTTCTTCACGAGGAACTAGGAACACCGTCCCCATAATCGTACCAAGAGATATACTCGTATAAATTAAAAAAATGGATTACCTTAGTGGACTCCAGCCATTAACAGTAACCTGTTCTCTTGAGTCTGTTGCAATGGAGGCGTGGTCGAAATGTAATCTTCGATCGATAATCGGATTGCTCTCGTATCGAGTTTTAGCGCATTCAAAATAGGCGAGGACTTGCTGCACGACGCAACATCGTTCTCCCAACGCGCACTCTCATATCCGTCTCGGCGGAATAGTCTGGTCGAAGGCTAAGATTCTCCAGCGAATTTTACTATTTTATTTTCAGCGTCGCGTCCATGAATTCCAAACTACTGTCCAAACGCTTCATTTTCACGATTCCGTCAGCTTTCGAGGGAATACTCCCGGGTTATGATTCGGAATATAATTCATTCTGTCTTAATTAAGCGCACTCATTAGGGAAGGGTAAGGTGCGGTTTACCTGCCAAAGTAGCTGGGCCGACGATCGCAAAGGCAAGAAGCAGCTTCACCCTCATCTCGTCCACTTCTAGGAAACAATCAAAATCACGAATAGTAATCTCGTTCACGATTCCATCGTTTTAAAATCAAATTTCGTTTCATCAGAATGTTCTTGGGAGCTGTTCTGGGTACGTAAGCTTTAATCGTACGAGCGGGCCGAGAGAGCACACGAGGCAGAAAAGCCCTTAACCGTTTCAGTTGGATTCGGCGTGTCTCTTGGCATCGCTGCACCACGAACACCAAATCGTATCCCCCTGTCTTACGCGCATTCGTGCGAAAAGAGTAACGATAAGGACATAGGGAGACGTAGAAGGACACAGTTTATCTGATATATAGACATCCCTCGGGATATGCCGTGTGCTGTCATCCATCTCCACTATTAAAAAAAAACATGGTACTGGGCCAGAACCGGACGGGAGCAAAAGGCAGCGATTCAAACGTCTTTCCGCTCTAAAGCCTGCCTCTCTCTCTCTCTCTCTTTCTCTCTTTCTCCCCAGTTTAAAATCCCAACTGGAATATTCCAGCTGGACCAAATCTGCAAATTCGGACCATTTTCAGCTGGAAAAGAGCTGGAAAATAGTAGGTACCAGTTGTTTATTAGCTGGAATTTTCCAACTGGAATGCAGCTGAATTGAATAGCTGTTTCCAGCTGGAAATTTTCCAGTTGGAATTTTATCAGGAGGACCCTATAGCTGGAATGTAGCTAAATTTACAGCTGAAAATCAGCTGTCAACAAAAACAGTCAACAAAAAGATTCTCATTCAGCTAGTGATATAGTAATTAGGAAGAAATCTGGGGATGACAACTTTCCAGCTGTTACCCAGTTGGAATCGGTCCGAATTTCCAGCTGGAGTCCAGCTAGAAATTATAGCTGTTTTTAAACTGGGTCTTTCTCTCTCTCTCTCTCTTTCTCTCTCTTTCTCCTATATAGCAAGTATGCTAAGTTTGAAACGCACCATGCCCTTCCCTATTTTCATAATTCTGTTATAATGCAGTCACCATGCACCTGAGTGTGAAACACATATCGATATGCAAAAAGTGCACCCCGTTCTGTCTCCAATAGAAGTGATGGATCTTCATCTCCGCGTCTCCCTTAGAGAGCGAGTGGAGACGGAGTGAAGTTAATTCTGGCCGTGCCCCGTTGAATCGTCTCCCGTTTGGATCGAGTTCTCCGATCCTCGATTGTCGGAATCGATTGGAACGGATTGTTCGTCTGAATGCCGAGCCCCGTGTCGATGGGGATCGATGCAAACAACGATAAAAATTTCTCTTTCCGAACGCGAGAATAGCAGTACCGACGACCTGGCACGACGTTTGCATGCGACTGGATTCCCAATGAGTGCAGGACAAGGGTGAACCCGCGAATGCCCTTTTCTCGCTGAAGAATTTTAAGGGAGGAAATTTGAAGGAAAATGCCTAAAGTTTTCGGGGAAAGTAATGATCGAAAAGAAGCCGAGTATTTCATTTACTCTAACCGGTAAGAATACTTATTGATTCATTGAATTTCTGTCCCGAGATAGAACAAAATTTGAAGGTAAAATTATGCAAAATTGTAATGGAGTTGATGGAAGTGGGCGGGGATTCTCTCCACAAAGTAAACAAATACGCTAGGAATTATTGGTTTTCCGGGAGATGTCAGAACGGAGCCCCAAATACTTCCTGGTCGAGTAATTTCTTGCCAGGAAAATTTCCTCGGGGCAATGAAACCGACTCGTTGGTAATAACTAGAGTAGGACTTCATGAGAAAAAATGTTGGCAAGAAAAAAGCGAGATCTCGTCAAGATGACGACGATGTCACGACCAGGTAAAATTGGGGGGGGGGGGGAAAAAAAAAACCTTGCAAAAAAAATAAATATTCCAAAGTTTATCGACACTTGACTGGGTAGAGGACATCTTACCAAGATTTGGCAAGAAACGAAACTGAAGATCTTGTCGAGCGTCTTGCTCGAAACCCAACCCTAGAAATGACTTTCTCAGGAACGGTATCACAAAGGCTAGACTGTAAACTGAAGGACATCGGGGCCATGGATTCGTATGCGTGCTATCTCTCATCACTTTCTAGGGTGGGGGAAACCCCCAATGTCGACCTTTTGTCGTTCGTGCGTATCCTGGATACGCTGGAATGAGGATCGATGGGGAGTCCTGTTTATTGCGGGACCCAGGAAGCCATTGTTTTTATCATCGCTTCTCTTTGCTGCACATGGACCCAAGTAACACAGCATGTCGATGAAACGTTTCCCAAATGTTGTCCATGTTGCAAGTTGATGTACGACATTGATAAAACATTGCTTCAACGTTTCCACTTGAAATGTTGCTGCGACACATCTACGGATGTCGTTGCAACATTTGCCATCAACATCGACAGAATGTCGACACTCTCGACATCGACAACGTAGCAACAACATTCCGACACAGCATGGACACAGCAGTTCCTACACAGCAGTTCCTACACAGCAGTTCCTACACAGCAGTTCCTACACAGCAGTTCCCGTAAAGCCGTCCTCCTCCCCCCCGAGACGGAGGCGTGGGTCTCGCTTTCCTCACTCGACACAAAATCGGGCCTTTTCCCTTTCCCTGTTCTCGTCCCTCACGGGAACGGTTCGTACCTTGCTATATGTCTTCGTGTGTCTCATCGTAGGAATCGATGAACGCTGACACTTCTTCACTTTTTATCCTCATATTCGAGACGGATTCGTGGGGCCAAGATGAAAAGCCAGCTCATATTCCCAATCAGAACCCTTTCCAAGGACCCATCGATTACGTCCCACAGAATGTTAGTGACGATGTTAGAGTGCCTGCGAACGATATTTTTCATTTCCTCACCCTGAGAACTAGATGAGGAAAAGAAAGACAGCGAGAAAAGAAAAGAAAGACAGAGTTTGCGGAAGGCTACCTCCCAAAAATGTAATACGTCTCCTGCCTGAATACAGATACTGTATTATGCATGGGTTGTTACAGTCCAGGCTTTCTCCTGTCGACGGGAATGTTTTGGCGGAGGGGCAGAGTATATGGTACGAAACGACGGAATGAATAATTCAACATCGGTCGAATATCGGACCAGTGAGGTCTATGCCTTTCTGTAATGCCAATATAGGCCCAGATTAGGTGCCCGGGAAGCAACGTTTTTAGTCAACATTGCAGCAACATAAATCCCGAAACGTTTCTGCAACGTATATGCGATGAATAAGTAAGGATTTGGAACCTAAATGCAATGTTCTTTCGCAACCTTTGAGCAACGTCGAAGTTTTGGACATTTCCACATGGATGCAACATTGTTCAACATTTCCTAAACGTTGCTGGAATATCTCGTGTTACTTGGGGGATGAAATACTCGGGGTCGGCACTGAGGGAATTTGCGAATTCGCCGGCGGATGCCGAAATGCGACGAATCCGGCAACGGCGGCTATTTGCTATTGCTATTTGCTATTGCTATTTGCTATTTACTTTACCCCCTTTATTCCACTGTGATGTCGTGTTGCCAGTTAGGACTCTTTTATTCTGTACCCTATTTCAATCGTTTTTCACTACGATGGAAGACCAGTTTTATCATATAGTAAGTGGAGATGAAAAATTCCTTCTCGGAATCTGATGTCCTACTATTGGATCGTCGAGCAGTCGCCCGTTATCTCGGAATCTCGGACAATTTCTCAGCTTTCCATGCGTTCATGTGACTAGAAAAAGGCTGGGAAATTCTTTTCAGTTTATTCTTGATCACAAATCTCCAAGAGTCGCCACACGAATAGGCCTTATCATATGCATGCGAAACCGTAACGAGTCGTTGATGCCACGACCAGTATGTTTCCCTACGTAATTTACAAAACAGGAGTAAAGAGAGGATCGAAGGTATTAGGTCCCAGGCAGCACACCACGTTGGACCCAAGTTGACTGGGAGCCGGGGAGGATGGGCCAACATCGCAATGGGCTGTTCATATAGGCACCACTTCGACGCCAGTCTGGCAGTCAACATCAGTTCCATCTGGTTGGACGATGTGACATCTCAGTGATTCGAACGAGCAAGGTCTTCACACGTTATGCGATATGGCGCATCAAAACTGGTACCTCAAGGCCTCAGGGAGCGACTCGCTTTTAAGTTTTATGCAAATTGCATGCAGTACCTGATCTTTTCCCACAGACAACGTAGGGAAGATACTCGAATTCCTCCATGTATTTGCACAAACAAGTTAAGCAGTCCAGGGAGACTTCCCGCAATTGCGGAAGGAGCTTAGTTCAAAGGGGACTCTGTCTTACGTGATGAGGATAATTTGTAAATTAAACCCTTTCATTGAGGAAAACACGCTTCTTAGGGTGCAGATCCGGATGTGATAAATTAAAAAACGAACCAAATTTAAAAAGAAAACAAGCAATCGAGCAAAGTTTTGTAAACTTTGCTCGATTGCTTTGCTGATTTGCTCGATGACATGAGTTGCGAATTGCTATATATTGTGATATATTCACAATATATAGCAATTCGCAACTCATTGGTGCAAATGGAATCTCCTTAACTCACGAGTTCAGCTTAGGTCAGGACATACGAGGTCTGACAATAAAGTTCTCGGAATGATTTTTTTGAGTCCGTGAATATCACAAAAATGATTTTCATTCCATGGACTGATAGATTAGACTTCGGGCGGTGTTGTGGCAGTCCTCATCTGACTAGCATCTTGAATGAGAGTTTGACTGGCAATGTAGCAACTCGGTGTGTAAGGCGTCTGTCATATTCCCAGAGTGAAGCATTGCTTTATCACTTTTTGTCTCAAACAGGGAAATACAGCAAGGCACTGTTCCACTGTCATTCGAGAGGAGGCGATGTTCCGACTTTTTTTGCCCAATGAGGGTCAGAGGAACATCGCGAAATTGAACATTTCTCGTCACGATCGAAGTATTGTGAAAACTACTCACTCCGTTCCAATTTATCGTATCTCACTTATACCCACGGAAGAACCAGAATGATGGACTCACTGGGGAACTCGTCCCTTACAGATTCCCTCTCTCATCTCGAGGGCAACAACAACAATTGCTGCCCGTATCGATGACCTGACCTTGTGAAAAGCTCCACGGAATGATTCCGGAATCCGTTCTGAGACCCGACGATCGCTAAACAACGAAACCGAGTCTTTTATTTCGCATTTTCTCGAAGAACTTCGGACGATTTTTCGGCCCCGACGCTTCAGTGAATGCCGATGGAGTCGGTTCCTCGTGTGAAATCAAAATTTCCTGAAGACGAGGTTGAGTCCTCCCCATACTCCTTTTTCCCCATCATCTCAATGGTATTTCCCGAACGAAAAAAACATCGGATCGTTGTCGAAAATGTACCTGTATCCCCCGTCGAGGTCTTCACCCGTTCGTGGTGCAAGCCTTCGCAAATCGAGTCCTTTTTCATTTTCAGTTTGCATTGCCTCCACGTCGAACGAGAGAATACGTCGTCTAGTCTTCGACTAAACAGCCGAATGAGGACGTGCTGAAGAAGTGACTGCAAACGATCGCAACGATTTCATGCTGATCTCAAGTCGGAAAATGGTGCTAGTGCATAGAAGTCCGAGGCGCACATGAATGCACACGAGCGTTTTCTATCCTTAAATTTCTAAATGAACTAAGTGTTAAGAGAAGACCTATGGAAATCTCTGGCAGGACTTCCTAACACCATGAATCCTGATGACATCTTCGTGTTACGTCCTGTGGATCGTCTTGGGATATTTTTTAGCTCCCTAAAGGCCATTTCACACTTAGGGTGTGACTTGTGCGATTTCGAGTGCATTCGGCATGCGTCTGCCTGCGTCCACATGCATTGGAATGCAAGGGAACTCGAGTGGACATCCATGCCCAAACCTACAGATTTGTCATGGGTATCACCTGCTTTTCATCGCAAAAAACCTGCAGATAGTTTCTCATCCGTGTCATTCGTTGGTCCGTTCATCCCTATGCAAGCTGATATTTTTTTTCGTTCGTATTTAGCTCATGTGGTGAACGAACGAAGGCAATACTTAATTATGGGGCTCATTCCCTCAAGATTTCCTGCGCGTCGAACTCCATGCGATTGAATTGAGCCTCATCGGAATTCTCGGCCTTCCGGACTGGATTGATGCTGGGACCTGAGGCCACCGACGCGGGCTGCACGATGTAGATTTCAACACGTGCAGGCGAGGGACAAAGAGGCCCTTGAATATCTACTGCATTTCCCTCTTTTATGGGTGTGAGGGCAAAGTGTACATTTCACCCTCATCACTTTTTTTCAGTGGAATCCATATCCCTTATCATTAACCAGCGGTCTCGGCAGACCACCCCTCTTCTCAGGACTTTGGAGTAATTTTCCACCTTTGTCACTTTGGAGAACTTTGATTTACCTAAAATGCATCACATAGAGGAGCATTGTAAGAAGGACTAAAATTTCTGATTAGTCCGTTTGAAATTATACAAGTATTGGTATCAAAACGATCACAAACAACACGGTCTTGAATATACTTTTTTTTTATTCAAATGAGTGGAAACGAGAGGAGTAGTTTAAGAGCATGACAACATTTCTCCTTCATCGAATGAATTCGTATAAGTGGTAGGAAAGTGCAAGAAAAATACACTTCGATTTTTTAAATGTGGGTTTCTCATTTCTCTCGGTGCATTGATATGGAATCATTCCGGAAACGTGCAGCGACGTCACCCCTCAGAATCGGATGAAGTGACCGCCCACGAAAAGCAAGAAGACGAGAAGAAAAGGAGAGAAAGAAAGGGCGGACGCGTCGTTGGGTCCGTTGCAGAGGTCTGTCTTGCAGGCGCACTGGTACATCCCGGCGTAGGCGACGGCTTGGGTGTCGTTGGACGACGCCTGGATGCATCCTGATGCCACGGTATCGGCGCAATCTGCGAACAGCAGCTTTCCTGCAATGACAGGATCGAGAGAGAAAAACGAAACCGTTTATCGAGGTCGCAAGGTGCCGGGTTCGAGTCGTGCTGCTGGAAATAAAGGAGCAAGGGGCTAGAATAGAATCTGGAATATGTGGCCTTGGTTTAGTCCCAGCCCGGCTACCACCCGAAGGTGAAGGTGGGATAACATGACCGCGGAATGGTCGTTTCCTAGCAGCACGAGTTCTCGTAAAGGAAACGGACTGGGTTTGAAAGTTTGGGTCGAACGCCCGATTTTTTGTCATGACAATTGACATATTGATGCATTCAATATGTATGCCTGTGACAATTAATCATCCCATGGCTATTGAAGAAATTTTCATCGAGCCAGATGTCGACAGGAAAGTTTCTCTTTTGTACTTTTCCTCCCGACCTTGGATCTCGGTGTAGGAAAAATATTTCCAGGTCAAATGGAATTCCCGACCTTGGTATATGACAATATACCGCATCGAACGACAATCTAAAAAACTTTGCACTGGAGAATGATGCCGGGTTCAACTCCTTCCCCTAATACTGACCTTGCCAAATATGGAAATGATGCATGAGTCGGGATTCCATTCACTTTTGGCATGTTCCTTTGATTCGACCCTGAAAGAAGCCTCGCTTCACGCTCGTCTAACCTAAAATGGTTATTATATGAAGAAAGAACTAAGTTAGTACCAGGCGAACGAAGTACCGATGAAGCCACTTAATTTAGCCTATTTCCTCGAAAACAGGAAAACTATGCTACTAGCTAACAGTTCCTCCATGCTAAATCCCCCAAAATGCCAGAGATGTCCAGAAGATGCGCGAACCCTATGATCCTCACCTCCTTTGCTGGCATACGCAGACATGCAGGTCGGGTTTTGATAATCGGAGGAACAAGTCTTCTGCTGATAATTCTTGCCATCGCAAGAAGGTATGCCAGAACCCGCCACCGGTCCGCAGTAGATGCACTTCAAAGCATCTGTAAAAAAAAAAAAAAAATTGGAAGAGCTGGTTTCGAGGAACTTTCGGTGCAGAATCGGTGTCGCATCTCGTGTGAATCTCATCCGTTAAGTCTCAGCGTTGGGAAAGTCACCTCTAAAAAATCACCTGTATCTGATTAAAGATTCCATTGGAGCGAATATAATCTGTAACTTGACTTCCTCGAAAATGTAATCAGTGAAGAAAATGGGAAAAAATGGGAAGGGCGTCCCCATACGGCATTCTCACTCGTTTTCCATGAGGGAACAGGAACACTGTCCCAATATTTCTAGCAGGAACTTAAAACAAATTCAGCATCGAAACTTACTTCCACAATTAATTGCAATCTGCTCCAAGTCGATTGTGATGGAGACGTGGTTCCGTATCGCCCCTTCGTCTTCTCCCTTCACATATTTTTTAAATCGACTTTTATTGCTAAATATCATCTATAACCAGCAATCGGATCACTCTCGAATTTATTTTTAATTCATTAAAAATAGAGTCAAAAAGAGTATTTAAAAAATAGAGTCGGTGATAGATACTTGCTACGATCGTTCATAGAAGTCTGCGTGTGTGTTTGTCTGCGCAAATCATGTCAATCTTTCTTGGAAAAACTCTCTCGCTCGGAAAATAATTCATTCTACCATAGTTAAGCGCATTTAATTAATCCCATGAACGTAAAATGAATAAATGTTCTACTTGTGAGAATTTACCGAAACATGCATTCAAGTGATTTGATGTATGATTATATTTGAAGAATTTTTAAGGTTTACCTGCCATAGTAGCTGGACCGATGATCACGAAGGCAAGCAGCATCTTCACCCGCATCATGTCCACTTCTAGGAAACCATCAGAATCACGATTAGGAAACCAGTGTCCACGATTCCATCATTTTAAAGTCTCATTTCGTTCTACCAGACCTTTCTTGGTGGCTGTTAAGAACGCTAGAAGAACTCTGCTGGGGAAAGATTCGCCGTGAATAGGGAGCAAAATACTCTTAAAACCTGTCGGGAAAAGGACTTTGCTGGAGTAAAGAGGAAAGGCTGTCCGTGGACATGCGGAACTTCGGACGGTCTCTTTTTTTCCTGATATTTTTTTTTTTGGCAGAGACAGGTAAGGAGTGTATAGACTTAAATTTAAGGAGAATGAATGAAGCTCGGGGGAGAACTATTGAATATTTGATGCAAAGTAGTCTAGTCTTTCATTTGCTTTAACCGGTTAAAAGTCTTATTACTTAAATCTTGCATTTCTATCCAGAAAAGAGAAAGCTTGCAAACAGGAAATAATCATTGCTCGCTGTGCAATCCTCAAATTGTCAGAAGGTTCATTGAAGGATATGTGCATTTCTCTTGATAGAATAAACGAATGTGCTCGAAGTTCTTAGTCTCTTAGGAGATGTGAAAAAGGGGAGCCACAATTACTTCCTAGTTAAATTTCTGACCAGGAAAAATCCCCTTGAAGCAATGAAACCGACACGTTGGAATAACTTAAACCGGAACAGAAGCACTTGCAGTACACGATGGATAGACGGTCCTTTGTAAACTGAAGGACATCGGGTCATGGATTCTCATGTGCGCAATGTGATTATATCACATGGCAAGGATACCCTTTCGTCGGCCTTGCCGCATGTTGTCCACGCGTATCCTGGATACATCCATTCACGGTCGATGCAGGGTCCTGTTCGCAAGTAATACCATTTGTACTATAGAGCGGGGATTAAAGAAGCCTTTCCTGGAAAATCATAAGGCAAGTCCTACTAAGGGATCGGCAGGCAGTTGTCCGTTACCTTGGAATCTCGGAGAATTTTTCCGATTTCCACGCGTTCTTGTCGTTAGGAAAACATTGGCATACACGTGTACTTCTTAGTTTTTTCTTCATCACAAATGTCCCGAAATCGTTACATTGCATGCATCAAATTTTGTAAGCTCCTGAAAATTACTTGTAGAAATTAAAATTAAAAATTGAATTACTTTTAATTCACAAACATTTTATAGATTGCAAATAAAAATAGATGAAGCATTGCGAAATCCGAAGCGGGAGGCCGTCAATAATGTGAGAAAAATGATTTGGACCTCAAGCCTTTTTGAGAAAAATCGCCCCCCCCCCCCCCCCCCCCTTTTTCTAAGAGTGTAAAGGCCTGTTTAGACAAGGCGTGATCACTCGGGAGTGCCACTCAGGAGTGGCTTGCGGGAGTGTTGTCGCTTCGTTTAAATTAGGTTGAGTGCCACGCAGGAGTGAAGGAGAGGCTCTCTAGCGAGGAGGAAAAGATCGCCTGGTTTTCTTCTGAGGAATGCACACAAGCGTGCTATGACTCATTCTGCTCAATGGATGCGGCGAAGAATGATCGAATGATCGAAGAATGATCATGGAGTCGAGAAACGCCGAGAGCTTTTTTCATTGTACAAGGAACGAGAAAACTTGTAGAACTGCAAGCATCCTTCATATCATAAGTCAAATGTTCGAGATGCAAGCTGAAACGAAATAACAACCCAACTGAGTGTTGCATCTAAGCAATTATACAACAAGTTTCACAATCACACGACCCAATGGGTGAAAACCCATAGCAAGCACCTTGCAGCAACGAAGTCGAGGATGTCTCCTTCTCAGAAACCATCTTTGTCTACGAGGAAGGTCTTATTTCTATTTTCTTGAAGTAAGTTAGCCTTATGAGTTTAAAATTGGTGAATATGTTATATTTTCTCGTTCTTATGAACAGTTTTTGAGCAATAGCTTTAATATTTGTACATATTTCAACAAAAAAATTTGGGGGGGTACTACTACTATTATTATTATTAAGAAGTTTTAATAAGTTCTTTCTAATATGAAGTATCTTCTATTGAGATTCATTGTCGTTATCTTTATTGTACCTTTTATCTAACAATTTTTCTCATTAAACATTGTTGCTGCGACTAATTTCTCGTTTGCAGGATCTGCTGTTCTCGAGCAATCAAGCTGTACCTAAGCCGAGCAAGTCGAATTTGAATGAAGAAGATGATGGGAAAGCAGAAGAAAGTCAGTCTGAGGTAATTGAGGTAAGTATTTTTTTAGCTCTGTCGTCATAAAAGAAACATTTCTCCCCGATTGTCATCTTCATTACTACGCCAAAAATAAAAATAAAACTTTCCTTCCAAAATGAATTTATTTCCTGGCATACTTCTCTTGCCATGGGATAGCTCCGCAAACATTGAAGCATCTTACAAAAATCTTCACGGACACTTTTAGCTGCTGATTGTTGTCGTCGACCACATGGTCTGGTCAAAGGAACGAAACTTCCTTGTGGAATGGCTTCCTCGAGGCAAGAGCCAGGAATAGCGTTACCATTTTCGACTTTGTCGGTTTCGTTATCATTTCCTGATGTGGCTTTCTTTAATTTGTGCAGGCAAGAACATGTCCAAACAGTTTCTTCAATTTTCTCGATGTCTAAATTGATAGGTGGTAACAAAATTCGGAATTTATTGGCCATGGTGCCAAACGCATTTTCAATGACTCGTCTGGCCCTGGATAACCTGTAGTTGAAAATCCAATATGATGGGGTGAGACTGAATCTAGGAAAGGGTTTCATCATGTACGTTTTTAGAGGGAATGCTTCGTCCGCCACCAGAACGTACGGCAATTCTTTAGAAAATCCTGCACATTCCTCTGCTTTTGGAATTCCCAATGCATTGTCCTCTAGTGCTCTTGCAAGGGAACATTTGTTGTAGACTCCTCCGTCAGAAATTCTTCCATTGGTGCCAATGACCACAAAAATGAATTTGTAATTAGCATCGCAAACTCCCATCAATACAATGGAATGTGTCCCTTTGTAGTTGTAAAAATAGGAACCAGAGCCAGATGGGTGCCTGATCACCACATGCCATCTATGCTTCCGATGCAATGCGGGAAATTACAAGTTTTTTTCAAATTCTGTTGTAGTTTGTCTCCATTCTTCCTCGGTTCGGGGAATCTGAAAATAAGGGTTCTTTATTATCATAATTTTTCCTTTTTTTGGAGGAATCGGTCGATGATGGAGATTTGATTCAGGGCGATGGTGAGCCAGAGGCAAAAAAGAAGCCTCGTCAAAAGAAAGGCGATGAGATCATGAATCGTACTTTAGGACTGACAAAATTGACAAAATTGGAGGACTGACAAAAGTCGCACGAAGCTTTGCGGCTAGTCGCAGCAGACCCCAGCAACATGAACAGCCACCAAAGGAAATAAAGGAGCATGAGGGCTTTTGCATGGATTTGGCTGCAGAATTGCGTACACTCCAAGACCCAAAAGTTGGTATCATTTTTGAAATTCAAGATACAGGAGTTGATGTTTCAGACAAAATGTGGGATTCTACAAGTACCACTTCCATTGGCGGCAGCTCAGCGGCAAAATCATGCCAATGAATTTCCATATCAACAACATCATCATCAACTGCAACTGCTACAATATTCTTCTACTCCCAACCCTCTTGAATCATGGTCTTCGTGCAGCCTAAATGGCAATAGCCGCGAGAACTAAGTTGATCTCTCCTGACAGAATTTTTCAATACAATATAGAAACTGACTAAAACTGAGGTTGAAATGAATCTAATTTGACTTATCTCTGTTCTTCTGTACACTTACCTTTAAAAAAAATGGTTTGAGGATCTTTGTGATCGCTGCACATACTGTTAATGATTGCGTGCATACTGGTATCCGAGAGGAGTACATCTGATCGTGGTAGGTTTATCCTAGAAGAATTATGAATAGGGTAACTTGGGGGATTATGGCCATTGGGGTAATATGGCTCTTCACAATGAATTCCCTTACAGACTGAATAATTAGTTCGGGTGAATTTTAAAAATAGTTCAATGGAAGAGTGCATGCAATTGTTGACATGTTTAGACCTGTTCATTGTTCCAATCCTCAAAGGAATTCGGGATACATCGATGTCTTGAAAGTCATATGCATGTGATTCTTTGACTCTTGACCTTGAAAGTAATATGAACCTTGAGCAACTTCAACGTATATTTCCTAATGGCAGCATGGATGCAGAAACCATTTCTTCAAAGTTCTTCCATGGTTCCTCCGGAATGCTTGTGCAAAGTGCTAGCCCTTTCACTTGCGGTTTGCAGACAGTGTTGTCAATTTTGTCATGAAAGTCAATTTGGGGGAATATGGCCATCTCGATTTGGGGTAATATGGACACATCCTTTATCTCATGTTAGCACCGCACTGACCTATTGGTAGTGTCAGCTTCCTCACATGTGGTATCACAGCCTGCAAAAGATCATCCAATGCACTTCCTCTGGATACAGTATATGGAGAAAAGTACTTCACATCTGGACAAAATATGCAGTACATGAGGAGGCAGTGCATGAAGATATGCTCATGCTCCGCCTCCTGGGCATCCGCTTCGCCTGACATGCTCCAGAAACTTTCTGGCACGACATTTGAATGCAAGTAAATATCCCTCGTACAAGAAGTTCAAAGTGCTTCCTGTGATTTTTTTGGCACTATTTATCCAGGCGTGCAAAAACTACGCAGCGTTTTCCTGGCGCTATATCTGGCTGGCATATGCATCAGCCACATCCCATCGCACTTCCGGGAAAACAATATATTACTTTAGTTGGCCCAACTTGAATGTGCTGCCTGGGAGAGAGAGAACAATATCAGTTTTACCACTGTTGTTAATCCCCTCCCAGATTAGGGGAAGTCACTCAACAATTGTTTAGGAGGCTGGCGTTTGGTAAACATTTATGGCCGATATCTGGCAACAAATTTACTCATGATATTTACAGGAATTGAGGGAGCAGGTAACTAGTCCTATCTTCATAACTAGTTCATAACACTCACAGGAGAAATTCGGTCTTGGGTGAACTCGATTCCTTTCAGCCGGCAGTCTTGAGGATATTGTCAAGCCTTCCGTACCAAGCAAGATATCGTGTGGGACCACGCCCACTAAAGCAAAGAACCACGACGTATGGTGGGCTCAGAATCGCCCGCAAAGTCATAAAGCTTACTGTATCATGCTCTCCTCTTAAAAGCTACTCTTACTCATGATCTTACTTTTCCTCAAGCAATTACATTGCGAAAATACGTTCGAGCGTTCGAGTCATCTAGCGAAAGCGTTCTCCTTCATGAAATCGCCATCGACTCCTTAATTGACGCCTAATTGATACCTTATGGTGGGTGTCGATTTCATCGAACGAAATCTTGCAGAATGAGAGGAATTCTCAACGACAATGCTAATATTTTTTTTTATCGTGTATGGTATGAGTCGATCATCAGCGAATGCAATAAATGTAACAAATGAAGGTTTGAGTGGAGCACCTTGACAAGTAAAGCAAAGACAATTTTACTCTTCCTTTATATTAAATTATATAATGGGAAGTATGATATTTTTGTGGTGCAAAATACGAAGGGAGATAAATGCCGAAAGCTCCTCAGGAAAGTGACTGCAGGGAAAGAGAAGGGACTTCCGAGATCCACTCGTCATCTTCTTTCGTTATGAAAATAAAAACATACGACGATCTCATGCACATCCGATGAACATGATGGAGAGGCAGGGTATCACCATTCACAAGAGGTCCCGAGGATGGAAGCAGGCAGTAAGTGCGTGAGGAAGGCGCGATTCCTTCCATCCACCCTCCCCCAACGCTTCCAATGTTCGGACGGGAGTGGCGAGACCCTTCCCGCCGCCGAGGGCGATCACCCGGTCCTGCGTGTCTTTCACCAGGCCGAGACACCACCTCGGGGTACGGAGACAGGGCCATGGGGAAGAAGAGGACGTTTCCCATGCTCTTGCCCGTATATCGAAGACTCTGACCTCGGAGGAGGCTTTTTCCTGCTTCTTCCCCGTGATTCCTCCAGCAACTATGACTTGCGTCCCCTTCCACACCGTCGCCGCTGCCGCTACCGCCGGTTCCGGCATGTCCGTGAGGGGGTCGTATCTCTTACCCTTGCGGGGGTCGAACACGTATGCCGTCTTTAACATTTTATTCTTCTTTCCATCCTTTCCACCGATAATGAGGATGGAGCCATCGTTAAGAGCCGTCCCCGCTGCCCCGTGCATCTTCTTCGGGAGATTGGGCAGAGCGAGCCAGACCCCTCCTCCCACCTCGGGAAGAAACACGGCAGCGTCCGACAGAGACCTCTTCCCGTCTCCCGACCTTCCCCCGAAGAGATAGAATCCTTTCCCAGGCACGGTGCATGGAACGAGACACGTCGACACGGAAACGTTGAAAGGTGAGGAAAGAAAGGGAAGAGAGGAGATGGACCGATCATCTGGGGGACTCCAGGACGTTTCTCCGTCCACCTCCACGACGAACGTCTTCTTCCGAGCGAAGAGGAAGACTCTGTCCGCCATCCCTCCCCAGCACGACCCCAAGCCCCCCCACAGTTTCACCTCTTCCCCGTCGCTTGCATCCTGGAACGTGTGATCCAGGACCCGGAGAAAGGACGGCTTGGGAGGGCCAGGACGGAGAACTCCGATCCCCACCCATCCCCTCTCGTCTCCCATCAGGGCCACCGCACTCGCTTCGGAAAGAGAATGCAAACACTGCTAGTGAGGGTCTGGCAGTGCCTGTGACGATGGTTCTCGAGTTTGGAGGGGGAGAGAAGTCCTAGTGAATGAAGCCAAAAAAAGGTGAACCGTGGAATGAAGATCAAGATGCAATGATTCATGAATTATGTAAATGTTTTCATAATTCTCCAGGGTATATTGACTGGAATGTGTGACACAGAGAGAGGCTCGATGAGAGGTGACCGATTGCTCGTACGAACTGGTACCAGCATGCTTCCCTCTGCGTGGGGAAAGGGAAATATCGAACGGCATTGAGCGGAACTTGGGCAATCGCTGACTAGCTTTTGATGATCGTCCCAGTTAAAAACAATCGGAGAAAACGACGGAAAATGCAGAACAACCTAAAATTGTCTGAAAGTCCGAGTCGCTTTAAACAAATAAAATTCCGGAGGTAAATAGGAACACGAATTAGTCATTGTCTCAGCCTCCGCATGAACAATCCTCATGGACAAACGAGACTGAGGGAGACGACGAAAAACACGAAAAAGACAGTTTCTTACCAGGATGCTGACCCCCGATTCCTTGCCGAAATCTGCCGACCGCTTCTCTCAGGATCCTCTCTCGATCCTCCCCATACTCTAGCCCAAGAGTCTCTTCGTCTTTCGCCCCATCTCGATCGCCTCGGCTGCTCTTCTCTAATTTAAAGGCTCTTTTAGCTTCTCGATTCTGCTGTAACATGTCGACTGTTGCACTCGAGTTGGATGGGCGTCCTTCTGTAAGGGAAAAGCAAGCAACGAAAGAAATATTAAAGCATGAATTCGCCCTCGGAACTGGACGAGAAGTGACGGACGTGCACCGCTATTTCTTTCACCGAGGAACGCGAAGCCCACTTTTTCAGGCTCTTCTTCACGAGTGTGAACTGGGCTATCGACACAAACCGGATCCGATCGGCGACGTCCATCGCAGTCCTGGAACGATGAGAACATGCTGGTGCCGTCATTCGCCTGGAACGTAAGGGAGAAATAATTATCAGAGCAAATGCTGGAGACACTCTGGATTGTGCCAACCGTGAAGCAAAATGCGAGGAAAACGAGGATACTTGGCACGACGAATAAACATAAAACACATGGAACCGTGCGTGCAACGGTGTGTGCACTGAAAAGATGACGAATTTTAACGACAGCGTCTATTGCAATGGACATTCTGAGACGACGAAGAGGTATGGGTGGTTTCCATGCCGATTCCTCTTTATTTGCGTGGAAGTTTCCAAGTGCTTCACCTTCACTTCGTTCTCCTGTCGCAACTATCGAAGAAAAAATTTGTAACAATTTCCCACAGTTCTAAACATTTATCTCAGCTTTAAAAAAGCTTCAGTGTGCTCCCTTGAGAGGTTTTCGAATCGAACCCCAATGGTGCCCGTGTGGGGCTTTTTCCTTTCAAATATGAGCAACATTTCGCTGATGCCATCCATTTCCCGTTCGATTAATTTTGCAGGACGTCCAGAGTCACTGAACCATATGGAATATAACCTGCAAATATACATCCAACATTTGAAGGCCTGATGAAAATATGTGCTGGGATACTCAGGTGCAGCATGAGTCAGAGAAGGTACAAAATTCAAATATTCAAAAACATCGGCACCTACAAACTCTTTTTTAATGTCGCCTCGTGATCTTGCAGGTATTCGTCGAAAGCATTTGCTGTACCATCGGCATTTTCCTGCCGATGGTACAGCAAATAACTTACCATTTGCAGCAGCTGAGACTGAAATAGGAGTTTATTACAGTACATGTTAAAACATTTCACGCTTTCTGCCGACCTCTCATAAAAGGTTGCAAAAAATTAGGAATCGTATGCCCCACCTAAAAACTATACCTTTTAGCAACCAGCAAGTAATGGTAAAAAAAAACTCAGGAATTATGTCAGCACAGATACCACCCATTAGATGGGAGCCCTTTTCCCTAGGCTGGACCTGGAGTAGTAAAACTATACCATACGAAGAAATTTCCTTTCCGAGGAAGTTGGTTACGTTGAATCCTCACACTCCATCCCTTTCTTTCCCAGCTCAGAGTGTCAGTCTTGCCATAGTAATCAGTGTATTTGGATTTCCGTGGTGATTACCCCCACCATCCGCTACAATTCGCAAGGTTATTCCGATTTTACCATGGGGAACACTTCCGGGCACTTTTCCAATGGAACAACTTGGCTTCGCTTGTCCATTTCTAGGAGCCTTTGTTTTAGGGCAGCCCGAAAGAAACAATGAGTCGATCCAAATTTCATTTCAGTTTAGCTTTGTGCTTCCTTGTGACTACTTTACAGCGCATCCGGTTTCCACAGGACACACAGGTGATTAAGGAGGAGATTTCATTGGATCTACCAAGACATCTCGACAACGAAGTGCATACATGAAGCATAGCCTTTGTAAGGGAGCTTGAAAGTGAGGAAGTTGTACAAAAACGAGAACTTTGCACTCCTCCTCCTCTGGCACTATCATACCTTAAAAAACTAAATAGAGATGTATTTTGGAATATTGGGGATGTGCACAAACCTGAGCAATCCGGGTCTGGAGTTGTTCGTTTTGCTTCCGAGCATGAAGACAGCTGGGGTCCTCTTGCCTCAAGCGTGGTTCCATCGGCTCCGCTTTCTCGTCCTGGTTTACATCTGGCATCGGGGATTTGTCTAACTGGAATCGCAAAATTGTTTTGGATTCACTGTCTAACGGTGAATGAAACGCAATCGATCGTAGCAGAGACCGGGAACGGGTGTTCGTTAATGCCGTTCGTTAATACTGCCCCTCGAGGGTCAAGGTATGGATTCGTACATTTCTACCCGTATCGACATCCCTAGTCGAGGTCGGACGCTCATGCAAAAATGCAAAATGCAAAAAAAATGCGGACTTGCC